ACTGGTAGGAAACATGTATCAATAGCTCAGTTACTGGACAAGTAGTAGAATCTCGCAGGCAATCGAACTCGGTACCGAGGATCGTGTTTGGACTGGAGAATGAATAGACGACTACATTTCATTACATTGACATGCGTACGATAAGGGCATAAGAGGTACTCGTATACAAACATTGGAACAGATAAAGTAGGGTGCACATCCTCAAGAGACCACGCTGCCATTCATATGAACATTCAAGGTGTTTTCTTGCACAACTAGCATCAACGCGTATAATGTTTCAAGCCGCTGTGAGTATAAGCTGTGAGCAAGTGTATCGCTGCCTCGAGATTGGTGGGTTGAACATACTGGAATGCCAAACCCGACACTCTTCGCCATCCGCACCACCTCACCAACAACGACTTCCACCTCTGTCGGTCTACCCATCTCGACATCAACGAGCATGCTCGGACGCATGGAGCATTTGGGTTGGGTGGCCAGTGTCGCCATGCATTGCATGATAAACATGGGAAGGTCGGGATCGATACCAGGTTTCTGCGTCTTGGAACACGGAGGGTAAAGCCTGTGACCAAGCTGTATGACCTCGTCCATAACGTCATAGAGCCATGGCAGAGTATACTCTGCCACCATAGGAGACGATGCCGGGAGAGAAGCCACGGCTTTCTGGGAAGGGGTGGGTTCGCAAGTGGCCCCGTTGGTCGCTTTGCTGAGATCGGCCCGGCTTCGCGCCAAATCTACTGGCTTCCTGAAGAATCCAGTGATGGAGAGCCTTGGAAGTGCGCAGGCTGGACCGACGAGCACACAATTCCAGGCGTTCTTTGCAAACTTTACGCGTTGTATTTCTGGTACTACGGTGACCTGAGTGCCGCCCGCAGAGAGGATCTTCCCGAAGTCGTTGAGGATCTCTTCCTCTTCCGCTGAATTGACCATAACGTTCGCCTCTGTGCGGTAGATGCCCAACGACACTTGATCCTACTCCGCCACAAGGGGTGAGCAAAGAATGGAAGACTTTTGTCAAAGGTTCCCTCACAAAGTCTCCATGTTCTACAACATTCTTCGTCAATTGCCTTGCTGAGATCAACATGGATGCCCCGAGGATCTGCGGTGTACCCTGGTCGAGAGCGGAAATGGCATCCCAGAGATCAACCTCAATGTTCATGCCATTCTGCATGAGAACGTATGTCGGTTGAGGATACCGTTGCGTGTATGGTATCGAGAGCAGCGGCTGGAGCAGACCTGCGTTGGTCTGCAGTTCGGCAATGATTTTCGTTGCGACGACGACGTGGGTGTATGCACGGTCGGCGGCCTCTTCTACCGAGGGGAAAACTGAAGATTTATCAGTCTCAGGATGCCTGGAGACAAACGTCGGTTAGACCCACATCTGTAAGGTCTCCATGCTTTGTGTATGCCGTAGCGTTGACTCTGAATGTCCGTTCCTTCATCTGTGATGGACATATCAGAATGGGCGCTATCTGGGTGTACCATGACATACCTTTTGCAACCTGGTAGTTCGACCTTGCCACCACCGTGCACCGAGCAGCCCCGCTGGATTCCATAATAAATGCATCTGTCGGCACAACGAGTCAGGTAAGATGTGCGCCCTGGTCCAGGAAATGGACTCACAGATGGCACCAATGGCGCCGAATCCGACTAAGAGAACGTCTTTGGGACCGGAGGAAATCATGATGGAGAAGGAATGGGTAAGAGGCAGTAGAGTGGTCGTATATTCCGCTATATATGTTCCTCCAGGAACTGGCGGTAAAGTCGCTGGTAAGCGAGTGGCACCTTGTGGTTCCAACAAATGTGGAGACAAGTCTGGGAGGCCCCTGCAATTAGTCGGATAACGCAGTTGGCATGTGAACGGCTGTTGCCACACCTGGTGATCGCCTCTTGCAAAGCTGCTCATGTATGCCCAGCTGTCTTCGCTTTGGTGTGCAGACGCTGCTCCGGTTCCTGTGGCCCAAGGGCTAACGCCTTCTGTCAGCTATTGATCCTCACCATGAGACCGGGAACAAGTTGATTGCAATACTTACTCGGGAAGATAACAGACTTGTAATGGTCACTGAATGGTGTTGTCTCGGACTAAGATTGGGATGCGAAATGGTTCTGAATGGAGACATAGGAACCTGAAAGTACTGAGACATGATCTCAGTAAGTGTCCCTAGTCGTGGAAGGAGAAAGATTTGCGACTGTACCTTCAAATTCAAACAGGGTAGGGAAGCACGCTGGTATCAGATGATAAAGAGAGCGCCTGCACGCACTACAGAACGCTGTAGGGCCCAATATCTCTCTGCTCCAGTACTCTCGTTCGGACGGACCGTTTTTGCGAGCGGGTATCAAGAAGACGCAGTAATTCGCAGGGGTGCAAGTGACAGACGGTCCTGAGACTCAATTTGGTCCTGCAGGGGATGAAGTAGACAATCAATAAACCGGGGTAGGACAAATCCTAGCGGAGACCCCTGCCTGCTCGCAGGTGTCGTTTCATCTTGAATTTTCTCCGTACATTGTTCCGCCGCATCTAGTGCGGAGTGAGTGTCTTTCATATCGACGTTCGCCACTCAGATTGGGCCGCATTGAGAGTGAGTTGGTCGTGCGATAAGAAGAAACTTCAAGTCGAAGAGCTTGAAGCCGGTCAGATTCCAGACAAGACGTCACCCTGGAAAGTGCAAAAGGAATCAGCTATGAGATTCTCTCTAAGCAAGAAACAAACACACGAACGGCAATTGGAGTACTTTGAGAGCGGAGAAGAGTACCACAGTCTCGGTGACCAATGAAATACATTTCATCTCTCAAGGCGAGTCTCAACTGTAGACAGGACGTCGCATCAGTTTCGACCATGGGATGAGGAGGTGGAGACTGATTCCGATCAAGAGCGTGCGGAACATGACGTGACGGCTGCTCTGAATAGCTGGAGCCTGGAGCACATCTGTAACGCACATGCGCAACGGTGAACTAACGTCGGTGCCTTCTATCAGCAAAGATACTGTTCTGGATGCCAACGCAAATCTTACCTTTGTTGCAGCCCAGATATCCTCCGCGAATTCTCTTCATGCTGGGCATATTCACCGCGGACGGTTTGTCTCACAGGCACACACATTTATTCCTGGTCTACTTATCATTAAGCATTCTTCTTCTTCCTAAATTCGTACAAGGCATTCTCCTGGATAAGGAGTAATAGTGCGTACAGCGTCTCTATGCGCTACAACATCCAATGACATGAGCTCCGGTTTATCAACGAAGAGGGGAAGTACTCACAGGCATGGAAACCCCATGTCTCTTCGCTGCTCTAATGACAGAACCCACAATCACCTCGACCTCCATCGGTCGACCCAGCTCGACATCGACTAGCATGCTGGGCCTCTCGTTGCTCGTTGGCTTGGTCACTATCCGAGCGGTGCCTGTCATCACCGACATGGGTAGGTTGGGGTTGACGCCTGGAGCTTCGGCGTCAGGGAAGAGCTTCTGCCCGAGGCTCTGCACTTCCTCTAAGCTCTCATACAGCCAAGGGATGGTGTATTCTGCCACCATCGGGAAGGAAGTGGGAAGACCCGCCACGGCCCTTTGAGCTGGTGTGAGGTCAGAAGATCTAGAAACGACGGGTTCGCCATTTTCGTCCTCAGACGGTGCATCTAGTGGCTTCCTGAAGAGAGCTTGCAGACTGTGTCTCGAGAGCGCACAGATGGGACCCAACGTGCAATTCCATGCGTTCTTGTGAAACTTGATCCGCTGGATCTCGGGAACAACGGTCACTTGAGTCCCTCCTGTCGCGAGAATGTCTCCGAACTCAGACAGAATGGCGGACTCTTCAGGAGTATTCGTAGTCACGTTCAACTCCTCTCGATGTATACCCATGGAGACTCGGTCCTGTCAGAAGTTTCGAAGGCTTCAGAATGGAGCTACGGGTGACATCATACGACAGACTCACGAAGTCACTATGCTCGACAACATTCCTGTCGAGTAGCTTGGTCCCAATGTAGACAGACGTGCCGATAATCTTCGGTGGACCTTGATTCAAGGCCTTGACAGAATCCCACAAATCACTTTCGATGTACATGCCGTTCTGCATGAGGACGTAGACGGGCTGAGGGAATCGGTCCGTATACGGTGCCGAGAGCAGTGCTCGCAGCAGTTCGGTGTTGGTCTGCAGTTCTGGAATGACCTTGGTGAGGAGTACGACGTGGCTGTACGCGCGATCGGCCGCATCCTCCACAGATCCAAAAACTGAACGCGACGATGAGATGCAGTGCGAATGGTTATGTGAGGCTGTGCAAACGCACTTCGGTATGGTCTCCAACCTTCGTGATCGCCGTACTTCAAGCTCTTGATGTGCATGCCGTTCTCTGTGTGATCGTGTACATAGAATACTGAGTGCTGCGGACGTCAAACACGAGAATACTCACCTTTGACTGCCTCATAGTTCGACCTGGCCACCACTGTCACGCGAGCAAGTCCTTTACTCTGCAAGATGAAGGCATCTGTCGTGATGAAAAGAAGCGACAGTATCAAGCAATCATCTCGACACGAAGAAACGCCATGAGAACCTACAGATAGCACCCACAGCACCCAGCCCTACGAGTAGTATGTCCTTGGGATCGGCAGCCATGGCGGTGACGCGGAGGCTGCAACGAAAAGAGACGAAGAGGTTTTTGTATGCTCGCGTCTTGCTCACAATCGTAACTCATCAAGCTCCCAAGAGCTAGCGGGAACATGCGATAGGTTATCCTGAAGGCTGAGACGTGTAAGCATGGCGGCATGAGCCTGTGAAAGATTCGTAAGAGAGGGCCATTTACTCACTGAACGGTGCTCTAAATTCCTTCCGTTAGCCTCTTGCATATCTCCGGTAGTAGTATCTGTTTGAGCGCGATGCTACCGAGCGGGGTGAGAGTGGATGATGATATAGATAGGACCTTCATCCCACAATGAGAGAGGTCTTGTCGATGGCGGAGAGCTTTTCTAGGATAGCAATTACATTGATGGCCAAGCAAAACCGCTCCCTGCTCGTCGCTTGGATGGCTCAGTTGGTTAGAGCGCAGGTCTCATACGTTTGTATGACTGTGAATTTACGCAGTAATCCTGAGGTCGTGAGTTCGATCCTCACTCCGAGCACTCGGGGACCAGTCATTATCCTTTTGCTTGGCAGCTTTGGACAAAGCCAATGACGAGCTCGAGTATTACTGAGTATGTATTTTCATCCTGACTCCAGAGAGGCGGTACTATGTTCGCTCATTCCCAATTTCGAATGACTTTCGCCTTGGATCTCCTGGCTGGCCGAATGCCGCGAATTTGACGGTAGAAAAAACTGATACTGTATTGACTAGAGAGCTAGACGAGACACGGCACAGAGACGAGCGAAACCAGTCCATGAAAGAAAGCGACGTGCGAAAAGAAGACCTTGGAAAATGCGGGTAGAGAGAGGTAAATATGCAAAGTAGAATGACAGGGTAAGCAGCAGGGGAAGACGGAATGCAGTGAGAGGTCCGGTGTGCGGGAGCATGATGGGATATGTAAGGAGTCTGTGAGTGAGAGGGTATGATGTGTGTACAGGAGACGAGCGAGAGATGAGAGAACACGAGAGCAAATAGATGATGCGTTTTGAAATGGTGAGATAGAGGGATAAGCACTGCACCAGCGCAGCACTCAGTGGTGGCCGAGGACGGCTTCAACCGCGCCTTCGCCACCACCTTCTCCACCTGCACCAGCCGCCTCTGACAGAATAGCTGCAGCAACGGTGCCTGGGCAGGTAAGCATGACTTCCAGCTCGGGTTGTCCGACATAGAACCACGCAGATGTAGCCTACCCAGTAACATCGTCAGTCAAACGTCCGCACACACGAGAGCAAGACCGCAACTCACGATCATAGCATAGAACGAAACCAAAATCAGCCCCTCCACCCAATTCGTCTTCGAATCCGCCGTGATATAATTCACCAAAAAGCACGCTCCAAGCAAGATCGCCAACTCAAAAAAGTCAAACAGCAAAATCATCGGGCTGCCGATCATCCACCCGAGCACCACGAGGAAGGGCATCCACCAGAGCGTGAACTGGATGGAGAGGTCGATGGCGCGGGCGCGCGCGAGGATGGAGGGGATCAGGATCTTCTTGCCGAGGATGTGCATGATGGTGCTTTGTACGAAGAAGACGAGGGCGACCATGCCGTCGGCGGAGAAGGAGACGATGGGGAGGAGGATGAGGCCGAACCATCTGCGCGAGGCGGGGTGTTAGCGTGATTGTGAAGGAGTAGTGGATGAGAATTGCTCACTCTTCCTGGATACCGCTCTGCTCTCGGACGAATTCGATACTTTCCACAAGCTATATGCGTGTGTTCAACGACGTTGTTCGGTAGAGATGAATACAACGCGGACGCAAGGACTCACAAATTCAGCAGTAACAGCGGTGAGAGCAACCGTGACCCCGAGCAGCAAGGCGCACGCCAGCGGATTCATTTCCGGCTCATCCTCCTTCAGCTCCTCCTCAGCTTGTTTGATCGCTGCAGGCACGTCGGGAAGCACTTCAAGCGCGTTGTCGTCGCCAGGCGGGTTGGCGAGGTAGATACGAGAGCCGATATACCTGCGTAGGATGTCAGTACTGTCATGGAAATGCGCGTAGAGGGAGTGGACGCACACAACACCCAAGATAAACGCAAAACCCCTGCTCATCTTCAGCATCTCTCCGCGCGTGAAGTCGTTCACGAGAGGGCTGTTCTCGAAACTCGCCTCCCCTTCAGCGTTGAAGGCCACCGGACCTCGATCGAGTGCCGCAAAAAACGCAGTGGGAAGCAGCAGACTCAACACGCTTGAGATCATGTAGTATGAGTGCCTGCCTCAATGTATGAAGGTTGGACGTACCCGATGGTTAGTAGCGAATGATTCAGTTGAGTATTGTGCGGATGCAGAGTTTGTTCCCAGACGCGAGCACCTCCCGCCAGGAAGGCTGTTCCGGGGATGAGAAGCAAGTGGAGGATAATGACACCTACGGAGAGTCAACACGTAGGTTCGGAAGTGAACGAATACATCGTCAGAAAATGACTGACCAACAATAGTAGACTGCAATAACCGAAGTCTAGTGCACGTCAGACATCAGTGACCCCAAATCACAAAGCAACGCTTATGATGTCGACCTACTCGCAATGAATGAGAAGGATGATAGCCAACGCCGCTTCGACGGCACTAAAGCACATTCAGCGAAAGCTATGGAGACAGACATGGCATACACTCACTTGTTGAGCGTAATCACTAGCAAATCACCCAGAGTCTGTCCGAGGTAAATGGACATCTGCTCGCCTCCCCAGTCGAACATGGCCTCTAGAGGTACGATTGCTAGGAAACATACTGTGCAGGAAGGTCAGGTCAACGACTCGGGTGATATGTCTTTCGCAGGTAGAGAACAAGACATACAAGCGAAAGTGGCTTCATGACTGAAGGTGCCCGGTAGGAAATGTGCTACCCAAGCTATAGGGATCGCGACCACGAAAACGTTCACCCCTACATAGTACACCGATCACGATCAGCACCTCGGAATCAAAGTAAGAGCAAGATGATCGAGAAGCCACGCACACGACGAAAACAACGCGTTCTTGCCACTCTCCACCCACCCTACATGCCGTTTTCCCTTTCCTCGCAGTCTATCCCAGAACAGCTTCTCTCTCGACAGTGCATCGTTGTAGAAGTCTCGCGCCCGGCTATGTTGCTGGTGGTGAGGGAGGCTTTCGTCGTCGTGGTCTGCGGTTCCGGAAAGCTCGCTGGGTGCGGGAGAACGACTGCGTAAGCGTTGGAGTTCGACGTCGGAGTCTCGACCTTCCCCTGCGTACCCGCGCTCTACGTTGGACATGTTTGGTGTGCTGTTGTTGCCGTTGGGCGGAGTATCAGCGGTTGCTTTCTCGGATAGAGACGCCATGGCGGGCGAAGAAGGAGTGAACGGATGGCAGTAGATGGAGAGGAAGGAGATGGGAGGAAAGAGAAGGTACGAAAGAGAGAAGGACAAAGGAGAGGAAGGGACTTGCCAATGCCAAGAGCAGCGGGGTGTGTTCGTGGAACCTGCGGTGCGCGCACTCTGTCACTCCGACTGGGGTGGCGCCGAGAAATCACTGCCAAGAGATGAGTTTCGGGGAGTCTCAATGACGACAGGTGTCCAGCGCAGGAATGGTGACGGCGTAACGGCCTGGAAACACGCCTGGTCGCTGCGTGGAACGACGAGAAGGGTGGGTCGTCGACTTCGAAGGACGCGAGCCCGCTGGCGGAATAAGCATGCCTCGCATGGCCGAAACACGATGTCCGTTTTGTACTTGGAGGTGAGGAAGAATGACGGAGGCGAGGCAGTGAAATCGGAGAGCGATAGCCACTCAGAACCTGAGCCGAGTGATGGCTACTTTACGCGCAGGCTGTTTGGCCCAGGCTTGTCCTTTCGCCGTGGCTTGGGACTTGTCACGGGCGCATCTTCCGCCCCTCCGAGTGGTTCAGAAGCTCTTCTGCATCGCTCTCGTTACTCCAAAATGCTCAAACGGTGTCCCGACGCGGGGCTTCGTCGAGCATTTACAGCACTGTCCGCTGATCCGAGCTCAAAGGACGGTGCGATACACCCGAGACCACGAACCGAGCTTCCAGTACTGCAGTATTCGTGGTCAGCGTTTCAAGTGAGAACACCCCTAGGGGTGAGTCGTCTCTTTCACTGCCTGTAGAAGCTGCGCAAATGAGAATCATGCGTCGATTGTGTTCTCTGCGCGTGAAATTCGAAATTCTGGCTGTGGTCAAGATCGCGAAGGGTGTAGCGCCGGCTGTGCAGACATAGATGTTCACGGCTTACGACGGCCTGATGACACACCGGGACACCCAATCATATCGCGCCGCCGGCAAGACCAAGCGTGTGCATGCCAGGTGCATGCATTGTATCCTGTTGTATCATACCGTGGACTGCTATATCGTAGCGCACCGCAAGAGTCTGCTTCTAAGTTGAATACCGTACATAGCGGTATAAAGCACCAACAATACGATGCATGTTATGGGAGGTACGACGCATTTCGCAGAAGAGCGCATGAACACACGAACTTGGAAGTAGTAAAGCAAAGAAATGCGATCGCAAAACGATACCAAGCTGAACCCAACCTCTCGGCAGCACCTCACATAGCAGTACCCAGTTCAGCAAAGCTCTGATTAAAGAACGTGCCACTGAGCGCAAACCCCTCGTCCACCTCCATCCCGCCATGATGCAACGCGCCCGGAGCCGGCCTCCCAGCCCTTCTCGCCCTCTTCGCTTCGCGCTTCATGTTCCGTCGGTTGAGCGGGTTGGAATGTGCCATGCTGGTGAGCGTCCGGTCCGAGATAGGGTCGTTCGCGTGCATGCGGCGGAATCGTTTGGGAGGACGTTGCATGGCGGAGGTTTCGGAGGAGTCTTGTGGGGGTTGAGAGGTGGGAGCGGAGGCGGTAGAGAGCTCGGGCTCTGGGGGAGGAGAGACGGAGCGGGGTCGTTTGAGGGAGTGTGTGCTGATGTCCATCTCCTCCTGAACACTGCGAGACGACAAAGGAAGACATCAGCAAGATAGAAAACGAAGAAGAGCGTGAGAAGAGAAAACGGCCAGTAGCAAGGAAGTGAAATTCCATCGCACACTAACATTGTATCTCGAGAAGCAGAACACATCACTCACGCAGCCTCGTCCAAATCCATATGCCCTTGATCCTCCTCCTCCTCAACCGCCATCTCTTCCGATCCTCCTCCTCCAAACGCACCCTGATCCGCCATCCCAAACAAGCCATCAACCTCAAACGCCTTGCCAAACTCGTTGATGATCCGCGCCTGACCGACGTTCTCTGCACCGGGAGCCACGACGTTGCCTTGTGCGGTCGCGACGGTGGTAGGGATAGAGGATGGGTGGATAGTGGGTGGTTCGGAGTAGTAGGGGATCTTTTGGTGGTTCCAGTCGTTCATGACGTGCCGGGCGCATCCGAGGATGTCGGGTGTACCGCCCTTCAAGAGCTTCCCGCTGGTGAGTGCTAGCATGGTGAGGAACTCGAGGGTGGTCCCGAAAGGTGTCTGTCCCGCCTCCGTCTGTGGCAAGTTGTACAGCTTCAGGATCGTCTCTGATGGGACACGGGCCAAAATCTCTTCCACTGCAA